ACAGTTCGAGTCGTCTGACGCGGGAATCCGCTTCAGGAATGCGCCTTTTGTCGTTGGGGTAAGAGAACGCAAACTTCTGCTGGTGGGTCTCGGCCCTATATATCAGATATCGCAAATTTACAACCACTCGAAATGGAGGAGTCGATCTGTCGAGCAGTCTGCGCGGCTGTCTAAGTATTTCGCCCCTTTGCCCGCTAGCCAGAAAAAAGAATTGCAGTCCATACACGAGCGGCGGCGGCGGCAGCAGCAGCAGCAGCCGCCGTGGAGGGGATGGTCGAAAGATCGGTATGCTGCAGGCGAGCTGCGCATACCGTGATGTGATCATGTCGCTGCGTGATGTGACAGCTTGTGGTTATTTACGAGGAGTCAATTTTATGCAACGCTGGCATGCGGCATTTATTGCGGTACAGCAAAGCGCAAAACTCCGCTCCGTTCCTCTCGTCGTTTCCGTCCTCCTTCTCAATTTGCGAGCGCGCCTGTCCGAGCTCGCTCCACTCGAGTTTGCTCTTCTCTGGCGCCGCCGCAACTGTTGTCGCCGAGCGAGCAGTGCGCTCGCTCGCTGGCTCAGGTAAACTCGCTCGAGGAATCTGGCTTCCGCGAATTCGGACTAGAGGCATATCATCATAATGATGGGGCGTGAGCTCTATAAACTGTTTCAGAGGACTACGGTTACTTCTGGGAAATCAACGCGGCGGAGCAGTCGCTCGAAAATTCACACAAGATTTGCTCTCGACCGAAGAATGTGCCGAGGCACGCCTTGCATTATCACCGCGGCTGTGTTCTATAAGCTGCAAAAACAGTGAAGTTTGTCGTCAGGGGATCGCCTCGTGCTTGGAAAAAGAAAAACTCGAGAATCGCCGGCCGTAATTCCCCCGGCTGGACGTCGATACGTCAGTCAGGGGGACCGGAGGGAATGCACAGAGCGCGCATTCGTCCTCCCGTCTAATATTCACGCTTCCTGCCCGGACTTTTCGATCGGGGTGCGGACGCCGCGGATCTTCCGACTCGAATCAGTGGTAGGCGGTCTAATTTAAGACTTCCGATCGGTAAACCGTATGATATCAGTAGCCTCCGCATTAGCCGCGAAGGCGGGAACTAATAAATATAAATCCAGTGTCGAGCTTGGATATGAGGAAAGAAACGAAAAAGAGCGGGCGATTGAGGAAAACGTCGCTTGCTGGATATGACCAGCCAATCGGCAGCGGTGTCGAAGGCAACTCCATAGGAATAGACGCAGCGGGAGCACAATTGTGCTAAAAGCTTGGCCGCACTGCTGTGAGCTACCGGCGCGACTACCCAGTTTCCTGCCCCTCATAGACATGGAAATACGCTCAGTCCACGCGCGAGGATGTGAGCGTTCGTGCGCGCGCGCGTGTTTCCCGGCGCGGTGGTGGTAGTGTGCAAAGTGACTTCGCGAATCAGCTGTGAGGAATGTTCCGTTAAATCTGGTGAGAGAGCCGGAGGAAGTTTACGCCCGATGAACTTCAGTTGCCCGCTGGCTCGATCTCACGACGAGTGATCGCAGAAACGTGCGACAAATCCGATATTGTCCCGCATCGCTGTGTTCTCCGTTTCCATTGCGTGAAATGTCAGAGGAGCCTCCCGCGGATGGGGAATCTAGGAGTTCATGACTTCAAGTTCGAAAACAGAAGTCGTTGCCCATTGAGAACTTATGCGTACACGACGACTATTATGATGATTGTCGGCCCGCATGATTCACGACGAGTGTACGGAGAGCTGAGCGACAATAGTAATAATAACGACGACGGTACCATTCGATCGTGGGACTGGTGCCATTAGCCTGAGGATCGTGACGTTAGGATTCCTTCTCTCCTCGTGTGAGCGCCGATTCTAAATGGCCGCATTTCGTCATAATAACCCTTAACAGACCAATCACAGCGGTTCGAAAAGACCGACATCGAGTATGGGTTTGCAGCAGTCACTTCGTTCCTAGTGGAAAAGTTTACGATCGATGTCTAGCGTTTTGCTCTCTCAGTCGGTTGTTCGCTCGGTGTCGCTCCCATCGCTGCGGCGGCGGCAGCCACAGCAGCTTCAAATATGGGTGCTCACGGTACTCCATCATAGCTTATCGAGACCGGGTGAGCAGGAACGGTAAAAATTACACAACAAAGAAAAGATCGACCGACCTACGGAGAGGTAGACAGAGAGACCTACCTAGCGACCGACCGACTGAGCAACCGATCGGCAGGCGAGCAAGCAGATAGACAGCCCCGCGGACTTACAGAAAGATCGACGCACAGACAGGCGGACGGACGGACAGACAGACGATGAACCGATCCAAGAGCCGTTGATCTGCATAGATAGGCTCATGATCCAGTGGGTTGGGGTGGTACCGCCAGGATGCGGTGGATTCTTTTAGCCGCAGGCGAGCGATAGGCCGAAAGTTCTATCAAAGTCTCGCTCTGTTTTGACATTTGGACGGACCACAAGCCACCGCCAGCGGTCATCGATAGGGAAAAGATGTCGATCTGAATTCTCTGTCTTCAATGGCCGTCGGGTGTGGGTGGCGAGCTCTCCGCGCGTGAGAAAAAAAATTGGCTGCGTCCCACTTGTGTTTTTTCGGAGAAAAAAACGCAAGAGCGAAGCAGCGCCGGCATGGCCGGCTATCGGACGGTTTTCCGTCGAGCTCGCGTTGAGAACGGTCCTCGATACGATACAACGAGAGAGCGCGAGTGCAGGTTGGATCCAATTTGGGGTGAAGTGTAAACGAGGAGCGCGGTGAGGACGCTAAGAGCAACAGCAGCTCACCCCATAACCCCCGCATTCACTCACTCAGGTACTCACCCATCACTCATTGAAGTACCACACCTGTGAGTCGGGGTTTCGAGGTCAAATTTGTTCGCTGGGTGAGTCCTTGACTTGCTCCTCCATTTTCAACAACAGCTATGATGGCAGTGGCTATGATTCTCGACAGCAGTTCTCCACTTTTTTTGCTTGACTGCTTGAATGACTGGAGGTCCGCCCGGTCTCGATTTTCAGTCAGACAGGTCTCCAGATCGATCAATTGCTGCTGCCGATTTGAATCGCCTTCCATTCAATGAGACGATTGGGACGAAAATCTACCTGGCCGCCCCAACGAACGCAACTCACGTTTCTTACTATGGTCGCGATTCGAGGCTTCATTCATGAACCGGTCCGAGACTGTGAGGATTGATATCCTCCAGTGCGGAAACCACACGGAACCTTACGGACCTGACACTTACGCGGGTTGCCGGATTGGACGAATATGGGAACAAGGGCAGCCTGTGTGCATTCGGAACATTCAACAGCACATATTGAGAGTGGTCAATAGCGATGTATCGGATGAATGGAAGGAAAGACAAAAGGTCACTCCAAAGAATGATCATGAACGCCATTACAACGTGAAGAGAGTTGACTGACTGGCTGACTGGCCGGCTGGCTGGCCGGCCAGCGAGTCCGAAAATAAAGAAGAAACAGAAGAAGAAACGCCCCTCGATTAAAAAAAAGAAGCGACGAGCAAATGGACTGACTAGGCGGCAAACAATTGCTATTCGATTCTCATTCCTCTCTTCTCCGTAAGAATCTTGTTCGTCGCTCATTTGTTCCGTGTTGTGTTCGTGGATAGACCACTGCGGAGCAACACATTCACCTGGATCGAACTCAGCGATCCAAAATTCCAGTACATATCCACGAGCCCGAGTTGAACGGATCGAGGGAAATGCAACGGAGCTCTCCCCGGAAGGAGCACGGGACGTCATCGAACGCTTCCTTCCCCTCGAATCATCACGTAATGCGTATCATGAGAGAAATTCGCTGTTGGTTAGCTCCCCGTTTCCATTTGCTCCGGATAACGTTTTGCGCGCGACTGTTCGGTGTCAATCAAGGACCGACCGTCCCAGGCGCTCTTCTGAGAGGTAGGTCTCGAATGGAGACGTAAAGTATCAGAACACCTGGCGAGAGAAGATGTGCAAGCCATGCAAGGAAAGCAAGCTTACCCTCCGTTACCCTCTCTGCGTTTCTCCCGGTTCTCTTTCTCTCTCTTTCTGATGGCCCGGCTCGCACAGTGCCGGTTTTACTTCCTCCCCACCAGGGCCTATCTGACGTCACAGTGAGGGCTCTGTATGCCAGCGAGCGAGCGTGCGTGCGTGCGTGTGAGTGAGCCCTCCCTTTGGCACCGCCCAGCGCTCCTCCGTCCGTCTGTCCACCAGCCAGCCAGCGAACGAGTGATTCAGCCCGGCAAGCGAGCAGCCAGCCAGGCAGGCCGGCAAGCCAGCGCGCCAGCCATCCAGTTAGCCCTCCACTCAGCCACCCAACTAGCCAGGCAGCCAGCCCGCTAGCCGACCAAACCAAAATGTCTGCCACCAGTACCGAACCAGACGACGACCAGCACCACTACCGTCATCAGCACTTCGGTTTAAGCAACTTCTGAGCGTTTGGAGCGGTTTGTGGAGACGTAACGCACCGAGAAATCTGTTCATTCGGCGCTTGATTCGCGGCGGATCGGTTCGCGGGGTCTCACGGTTAGGGACGGTCTGCTGGTGCGCGGACGAGTGCAAACATACGTCTCCGGGTTTACAACAGACGGTGCCTGACAGACACACAGACGGTGGAGTGACACAGTGAAGGCCCTCTCTCTCTCTCTTTCTCTCCGACAGTCTCCGTGTTCCGAACGAGAGAGCAAAAAGGAGAGAGAGAGAGCAATCCGCGCAGGAGAGCCGGATCGAGGCGATCGCTCGAAACCCCCAGCTGATTTTCCGCAGTGCGATCCGTCCCGATATAGTTCATTCGCCCCCATGTGGTCCCTGGTTTCCGTTTGTCCTGCAACAACGACAGTGAAGGCGGTGGCGGCGGCAGCAAGTAAGTGGAGTGACGAGGACAGTGAAGTAATTCATGGGTGAATCGGTGCGGGGATTCAGCCCTAGTTCGACGGGACTGCGCGGAGCAACGTCAACGAACCTGTGCAACGTATAGGCAGGCACATACGTGGGAGAGAAACGGATTTTTTCGCGCCCGATACGATGGACGATTCAGCCTCGAATTCACCGCCGCCCACGATGCTGCCCAGCGTGTACCGAGACCATCCCATACGGAGGTCGGTTTCACCGGAAGGATCGTCGAAAGGCCGTTCCACTCCGAATAGCCCTGTGTCTTCCTCTTCGGCCGTGATACCGTTGGGGAGTCACCTTCCTCTGAATCACCACCATCTGCAGAATCACAGTAATAACAGCAGTGCGAACGCGTCGAACGCGCGACATTATCTCGGAGTACCGGCTTTCATGCTGAACGGTCAACTGGCGGGCAGATACAATTCGATGTTGGCGGCTCAGCAATCGAGGTTCTCCGACCAGACGTCGAGTGCAACGACGGCTCGCGCAAGCTCGCCGGCGGGGATCGCCGCGGACGCGTCGGCGGCCGATTGCCGACTCATTGATTACCGCGGTGCGAAAGTGGCGGCGTTTTGTATCAACGGCGAGTATTTGCTCTGCCTCCCGCAGGCTTTCGATCTCTTCCTCAAGCATCTAGTCGGCGGCTTACACACAGTCTACACCAAGCTGAAGAGACTGGACATCACGCCGATCGTGTGCAACGTCGAACAGGTCCGGGTTCTTCGAGGATTGGGTGCCATTCAGCCGGGCGTTAATCGATGCAAACTCCTCTCATGCAAAGACTTCGACGCACTATACAAAGACTGTACCACCGCAAGGTAAGTTTCATGCGTCTCGATTATTCTCGGGAACTTGTTCCCAAGGTCTTGTCCTAGCGATAGCCCAACCCTTCGTTGCTTCGATAGCACACCGCCCCTTGTCAGAGCGTGTGTGATCTGAGCGATGATCGCTCTGAATTCGGCACCATTCAGATAAAATGGCCGAAAACGGTTCTGTCAGTCATTCAGTGAGTTGGACCGGCGACGAATGGAGTGGCCAGCCAAACTGCGAGTCAACCGGAGGAGGCAGAAAATAGGCAAGCAACCGAGCAAAGTAGGCAGACAGTCTGACACAAAGTTTATAGACAAAAACACGAGATAATTGTAGCGACCGATTCAACGGATGACAAGGGGGTGCGCCGCTAGATTGCCAGCTCAGGCAGAGATTACGCTGTGCGCGCTCGACCCGTCTGTCAGTCCTAGAGCGACTCATTCGATACGACATGGGCTGCGCTTGCCCCGGGAAGACGGCCAACACGTAACCGCTCATACGCGCTGTCCTACCACAGCATAAGACGCCGATCCGCGAGAATTCCCCGCTGCTCTCACCGCTTCCGAATTTGAGAGCGTTACGTCCGCATGTTGGGGGGGGGGGGTGTAGCGACGCCGACGGATCGAGCTCTCGCGGATTCCGCACTGACCCGGTTTGACCCCTCCACATGCGGACGCCGAACTCCACGTCTCTCTGACCTCCACGTTCATCCGCAACAGCGACACTTTCGGTGCCGCGGGCCCTTCCTGATACAAAGGCGATCACAGGACGACATGGACCACAGGCGACAGTAAACGATACCTCGACGGACTCGCCGACGCGACGGTCCAATTGAAGACGTACCGAGCGAACGAATGGACGAAGCAAGCGAACATTCGGGCAAGCGACTGAGCATGCAGACAGACGGACAAAAAGTTAATTGTAAAAGTGTGTTTGCCTGTTTGTGATTCGTTCGTAATTACACTTTTAATCATAGTCGACCGAGCCGTAAAATGAAATGGCGCTTCGCCTTAATGAGCTCCACAGAGTCACAGTGACCGCCAACAACGAGGCCTCTCGTTCTTTGCTGCTGTTGCTGCTGCCTTTTCTTGTTGTTGCTGTTGTCGCTGCCGTCGTCGCGAGCAACCCAAGCGGCATCAACTGAGGCAGAATACTTCACGCTGAATATAGGTGCTACGTTCGTTGAGGGCACGCTTTAAAGTTTCACGATCATGAAATGATCTGAGTGAGTCGAAACCAAGCGAAAACGATGGCGAGAGTCACCCTTCTGAAGTTGTCTCACGTGACCCTCGCGCCCGGAGGCGATTAGGTCTGGAAAGTATTCGATGTCGATGTACAGAAAAGATTCCAATCATAGCCAGAGAAGAGGGCTCAGGATCTATCGTCGCCTCAGCCGAAGATCTGAGCGAAGTCGCCTTCTTATTGCCTGACGATGATGGACTGTGAAGAAGTAATAGCGTCGCTAGCGAAAGCAAAGCCGGCAAGAGGAGCGACCGACTAAGACTAAGATCACTAACTTCTGGAGCGGATACGAACGGTCCCACCTGCCATGGCAGTTATCTTGCTTGCTCACATTTGAGGATTCCATCCCGTGAAGGTATGGAATAGGAAGAATGGTCAGAGCAGCACTATTTGATTCAGCGATTTTTCCGTCGTCTCCCTGAGGCTTATCTATATTCCCTCCCCGTGGGAGATATGTTCACAACAACAACGACGATGGCAGCTGCCGAGGTAAGAAGATCATCAACAATAAGAACACCGTCGATTTAAACGTGCCTGCTTGTTGCATCGGAACGCCTGAGTGCGCTTTAGCCGTATCAGAAATAATGATCTTTTTTTGTCTTCCTTTTCTTCCCCTAAACGAAATGTTCTGCGTTTGCATACGGCTCGTTGACTGAACGTCGGCCCATTCCCTTATGAGATCATGGTCGGGAGGAGTTCTATCTCTGGGGAAAATTGGCTGCGACTAACGTGTCGAGTCGTGGACCGATCAGACCGGAAAACCCAGCTCAAGCTGAGAACGTCTCGGAATGCGTGGGGCCGGCTCAGTCGGAGTTTAAATCCGAATGAGTTTTCACATTTGGAACAACGCGGTCGCGGCAGCTCACTAATCTCTGGCGGATCTAAACTTCGTGTCGAGCAAACAATGAACAGTGTTGCTCTAGTCAGTTAGAAATTGCTCTGTCATTCGGCGATGTTACGTTTTAATTGCTGTGCTTTAGAGCTGCTCGGCGAGTCGGTCAGTCGGGCAGCGTGGAAAAACCTACTCAGCGTACCTCCAGTCGGCTATCCTCAAAATGATCAACGCACGCTTCGGTGTGTTTGACATCTGACGTGACCAGCTACGGCTCCGACTGTGAGAGTCAGTCGTTGCGCTGGTGGCTGAGCCCGGAGTCAAGATAAATAAAGCTACTGATAGATAAGCGCAAAGCAATTCCATTTCTGGCGAGCTCGGCGAGAATCCGACGCATGCGATAAGGGCTGCCACAACGGCAGCTACAACAGACCAGAATGGAGATAAAACTTTTTCTCTTCGTTTTTCAAATTCATTCCCACTCAGAATCCAATTAACAGCTGCTCCCCTCGGCTCTTGGGTGGCCATCCGGTCTACTTGCTAAAAGGTTCACGGCGAAACAACCCTTTGGGCTTGAGTGACTCAGGCGACCGGAGAAACAATCCGCATCTGAAAGTGCCTGTCTCCTAAGGTCCGTTCGTCTGCCTCCTCGGAAACTTTGAATGATTCCTTGTGTAGAGCGAGCTCACCTTTTCGCTTCTCTGATACGAGTCGGGTCATCGATCGCTGGGAGGGAGTCGTTTCCGTATCCGTTCCATAGAGCATCGAAGGAGAAACAGCCAATCAAGAAACATCGATATCGCTCCCTATATCGCAAAGGATATCATTTTTCTGGTGTCGGTACCTTTTATTCGCTCTCGAACTCGATTACCACGAAAAATTGAACGACAAATAATTAAACTGCTGAAAGCAGCGAGAAGAATATCAAAGCTGAGACAGATTGACCGGTCAAGTGGCACGTAATGCTTCTGGTTGCTGCCTTAATGGAAATATGTATTCCCGCAAAACGGTGAAAAAAGCGTCGTTAATCATGTGCTCGCTCACTAGCTCGCTCGTCCGCCGCCTCGCCTGAATGATGAATTTTTCATCTCACACATTTGGTCAAAGTCTAATCTATCTTATCTGGCTCGTGCGTCAAAAGTCTATCTAGTATCGGATCGAGCGATCGAGGTTCATCGTAGACGAAGCGTGTTCCCGCCATCAGTGATCATGTGAATTTCACTCCGACGGAGCTAAGCCGAGTCCGTCGCTGTGATTTGTCGAGAGGATTTCGGTCCGTCAACGGCCGAATCGAAAAAACGGCGAATGGAATCATTCGGTGGGAGCTTGCAGCTTCCTCGTGGTTTCCACGTGGCTCGACAGAGCAATGGGATTGGTCGTTCCGTTTCGAATCCTCCGCCTCACAACCCTGGGGCAAAGGAGTCCATCCTCTTTTCCCTCCTTCTCGCGTCCTTTGTGGGAAAGGACGCGACACAACGACACACAAATAGACCAAGAATTCGAAGGGACACTTTCACATGTCGAACAGAGCGCTCAGAAGAGAAAGCAATAAAAGAGGTGAAGTAATTGTGCAGGGTCGTAGCAAAAGCGAGAAATGATGTTCAATAATGGTTCGCACAGAACATGTCGACACCGAAACTCAGTCTGATGATTGATATTCGTTCCAGAAGCGTAGACTCTTTCCCGAAACGTATACCAGTGTCGGTGATATGAGACTGATTCGAAGGCTGTTGCCCGATATGTTTCGCCTGAGGTTCGACAGAAAATTTTCCCTGACTTAAGTCGTGCTGAGCTCTGTGCCCTATGACTGCGGTCCGGGGTTCGGACCCGTTTCCTTCACCCGAGTTAGTGGTAGAATTGGCAGTACCAATATTCTTCCTATATCTACGATGAATCGGTATCCGGTTCTCGATTCTTGGGCTCGTTCCATTGTTTTTGTACTTTTTGTTTTTGGTTCTTAAGTGGGCGGGTGAGCGGAGGACTTATCGTACGAAGCGCGAAACGAATTCATACGCATTTTCGAATCAGTGGAGGCTCAGCAGTGATAGCCGCCGCATGCCATTGACCAGTGGAAGGGAGAAGTATCGAGCGTTTCACGAGCATCGGAATCGATACTGTCGACGTCGTCGTTACGCTCGCAGAAACAGGGACCATTACGAGAGCGAGAAAGAAAGCACTTCCGATTCCGATAACTTCACGGAATGCATTAAAGAAAGCGACGAGCAAACACGAGAACACGGTCGTTCGATGGGCCGTGAGATTCGAGATGAAAGCTTTGAAATCAATGGTGAAACTGATTCGTAAACACGACGCCGACGGTTGTATGAAGCGACGGGTGCACGAACCAACGAAACAAAGAATATTTGGAAAGAAAACCCACCAAGTCGGCTGGCCGACCGGCCTGCGCGGAATGGCAACAAGTCTCGTTTCCTGTGCGCCTGCAACGTAGGTCGGGCGTGTGTTATTGAGCCGAAGAGAGATGAACTGCAGTCTTCTTCTTTTCGACAGAGAACATCAACTTTCATTTCAGGAACACGCTACAAACTCGCTCGCTGGCTGACTCTTTCGAGAATAGTACTTCGAGATTGAGAGCGTCCGCTCAGCAGCGATACACGACGCCCTGTTCGATTGGGTTCGATCTGTACGTACCACGTAGCTACGGCGAAGGTCGCGGTCACTCGACCGCGGAGGGACACGCAGGGGAAGTGGATTTTTCCCGGAAGGGATCCCCTATCACCACCTCAAACTTCGGCAGATATCCCGTGACCAAAAATCTCGTGACCGGAATCGAGGGCTCGGTCTAATCTAGTTAGATGGGCCGAGTTGACACTGAACGATACTGAAGTCGATTGAGGCAATCGTTGAATCGACGTGTGATCTGTTAGCGGCTAAATTGATCAGTCCCTGAGTCGTTTTCGGGCGAAGAGGGATCTT